AGAGAGAGAGAGAGAGAGAGTAAGGTAGGAACAGGCACCTGTATGAAAAACTGCGCAGTTCAAACTTGAGTGACAGCCATTCAAGGTGCAAGTTTACTGTTCACAAGACGAATGTTGAACGCTTGAACAAATTTAGCTAAGAATCCAGCTTTACAGCATTAATATACAAAATAGTGTTCCTAAATTAAATATAATATGTAAAACAAACTCGTAAAACTACAGATACACCTATTTGCAAAATATTATGTTCATGGTTATCATTTATTACGTTGACCTTGACCATTTGGCAATTTAAGCAAATCGCTTTCAGTTGAATTAAAACCTGCTACAGTGAAGCTGTTGCACAAGGTCTCCATTTGAACAGAAACCAGATTTTTTTCAGTGTTACGGAAATGAGATACTTAAGATTCGAATAAGTGTGATATAACAACGATATGAAGTATAAAGGATTTCGCTGATATGCATGGCGAGTTGAAACAGTACTAGATAACTACAATAAATCAAATCGAAGAGAAACAAACAGGTTATTAATGAGAGTAAATAAAGAATGGTACAGCAGGAGGCATGGAAAAATGTGCATTAAATGAAGTTTTCAGAACCCACAACGTTGTTTCTTGTGCTGAAGATGAAGCAACGTTGTGAGTTCGAGCTTTACTTAAAAACGAATTTTTCCATGCTTCTAACGGTTTCATATATGATCCATTAGCCATGATGACATAGACGTGACCCACCATACTGCTAAACGGAGCAACTGGCAAGTCAACCGCTTATGCCAGATCTCTTATGACTTATCTCTGAGTTCATGACGTCACGGATATTTCGCTCCTTACCAGGAGTACTTCAGTGTAATTCAGACAGTCGTTTCTGTCAGCTGATATTAATTTGTCAGTATTCAAATATTTTATTTCTAACCACTTCATTGATTTCTTTCTTCAGCTCCGTCGCGCCACCGTTCACAATGCCGAAACCGGCGATTTAGAGACGGCATCGTACAGGGTTAGCAAAAAGTATGTATTCTTAATCTTATAAAATCTTTCAGTGATTCGTACTAAAGTTTATTTATACCTTTTCACAACTGCTGCATGAGTCACGAAAACGTTCTTGAGACTCTTGGATCTAATCTCTCTGACAAGTGTCTTGCATGGCATCCGGGTTTGCTTATAACGTACTTATGACTGGAGTTAATTGAAATAGTGCATAACTCCTCCAAGACTAACTTTCGTGGTCTGTTACACTGTTCCCCTGCGCGTAGCAGTATAAACCCTTCCCTATGGGAATTATGCACTATTTATTCCAGCGTATGACATGTTTTGATGTTTATGCCGTTACTACATGAGGAGGACAAACTCCAGAAGCATCGTTCGAGATGAGCGCAGTGTGACTCTATCGTTGCAAACTATGGGAAACGTATATGAAACTGCAAGTGCTTAGATACCTTGCAGACTGAGCCTGTTTGATTCCCATTTGGCCACTGGGAAAAAATGGGCATTGCATTGCGCCGTACAACCTGGTTTATCAGAGTTACGAGCCATTTAGCATACTCAGCGAGCGAACACATTTTAATATATAAATTAAAGTTAATTGAATGAGTTTTTGCCGATTGCAATTTATGTTATAGAAACTTATGTAAATAA